TATCCTGCTGTGCCTACAGCTCACTGTGCTACTTTTCCAGCAGATGTCAGGGTGGTTGAAGTCCCTCAGCAGGACAAGGGCCTGTGAGCGCGGTATCTCCTGTAGCTGGAGTGTGAAGGCTTTGTCAATAGACTCCCCTTGATCGCGTGGCCTGTAGTAGACACCAACCACAAGGTTCCCTTTGTTGCCTTGGCCCCTGATTCTTACCCACAAGCTTTTGACCTCCTCATGGCTGTTCTTCAGAGGCAGCTCTTTACACTCTATCCTTTTCTTGACATAGAGGGCAATGCCTCCGCCCTTTCTTCCTCACCTGTCCCTTCTGAACAGCCTGTAGCCATCGATACCTGCACTCCAGTCATGGGATTCGTCCCACTGAGTTTCAGTAATGGCCACCAGGTCATAGCTTTCTAGCAGCATGGTGGCTTCCAGCTCCTCCTGTTTGTTGTCCGTGCTGCACATGCATTGGTGCAGAGACACTTCAGCTGGGCTGTCAGCTCTGTTACCTTCTCAGAGGAGAAGGTTCTTAATTCCTTAAATTCCTTTCAGGCATTTCGCTGGTGTTGCCCTGTTGGCTCCTGTTGCCTCAGGAGCCCCTGGCTCATCTCCGTAAGGCTGCAAGTGGGCTGCAGTGTAGCCAGCACGTCTCAGAGCAACAGGCTAGGGGCCCTTGCTAGCACCCCGTCCCTCTAACCTTGGTGTGCCATCCCACAGCTTGTCACAGGCAAGCCTGATATTATCCCCCTCCCCCTTCAAGTCTAGTTTAAAGCTCTGTCAATAAGCCCCGCTTCTGAGCAAAGACATTATTCCCCCTTTGAGCAAGGTGAATCCCATCTGATGCCAGCAAGCCTGGTGCTGTGTAGGCCGTCCCGTTACTGAAAAATCCAACGTTGTGGCAGTGACACCAGCCACAGAGCCATGTATTAATAGACTGGGCCCATCTGTTTCTTCCAGTGTTGCTGCTTGCAACTGGAAGGAGAGAGGCAAAAATAACCTGTGCTCCAGGTTCCCTTACCAACTGTCCCAAGGCCCTGAAGTCTCTTTTGATTGCCGTGTGACTACGTGTTGCAGCTTCATCGCCACCCACGTGGAAGAGCAGTAGTGAGTAATAGTCCGAGGGCCATACCAGGTTTCATGTCCAGATCCTGAGATTGCCTGAAGGCAGATGATGGGATACATCCATAACTTGACATTTGTGTAATGCCACATGGACATTCACGCCATGTTTACAATGAAGTAAAACAGGATCAGAGCCTTGTTGTTACTTCAGTGCTTTGTGTGGGTACCTGCATCACTCCTTTTCCACAAAAGAGAGTGTGAGAGATCATACTAAGAAAGCTTTGGCCATGGTCTCCTTGTAGTTGTTTGTTAAAAATAATTTGTATTTGTGTTTTACTTGCAGGTTGGGATGTTTAAGATTCATCCTGAAATTCCAGAATCACTGTCTGCTGATACAAGGACCTTTATTTTGCTCTGTTTTGAACCTGATCCTAGTAAACGTGTTACAGCGTCTGATTTGCTCAGAGATTCCTACCTGAAACAAGTAAACAAGGGCAAGAAAAGCAGAATTGCATTCAAGCCTTCAGGTAAGGGCATTATCAGCCAAATGCAAGTCAACATCATCATTAAGTGTTATATGAAAGATTGGAATCATTAAGCACTCTCTTTTAGTAAGAACATTTCTTGTGCCAGGAAAGCAGCAGGAACTCAACTGTTGAACGTGCCTGTAATTTGTAATTAGACATATTTAAATTTAACAATTCCCACAAAATATGGTGACTTGCTTATTTTGTGTTTTGCTTGCTGAAACTTCTCAACCCCATTTTTCCTCTCCCCCAAATTAAATGCCTCATTTATAGTAAATTAAAATTAGAAAAGTTACATTCAATGAAGACTTTCCAAAGCAATTCTGCATTTTAGATTCATAATTATATACATATCAGAGGCTGAGTTTTACAGAGCAGGTGCTTGGCACCTGAAAATGCGGGTCTATTAGGTGTTCAGGTCTACAAGGGTCGGCATTTTCAAATTTGATATGTAACTTGGACATTTGGCACGTAGGTGCTGAAATACCTGTTTAGTGGGTTGTTTTATCTGCCTAGCATGTTCTTCCACTCAGCAGATCAGCCACTTTCTCAGTGATAACAAGCTTAATATAGACTTCCCAAATAAAATAATTCCTGTTTGAAGGCACATTTCATTTGAAAACCAGCAAAGCCATTGGTCTTGCTGCTTCTTTCCCCTGTCGGCACACACACATGCACACGCTCCCGATGCAAACTGAATTGCTTCCCTTTGAGTTTTTTCACCCTCAAAACATTCGAAAGAAGAGGAATGGAATTGAATTGTAATGGGGAAAAAAGTTAACAAAGAATTTATAACATCTGGCTGAGTTGGTTTCAGCAGGGAAATGGGTATCATCTCTTGACCTGAGAGGCACTGAGAACTGCAATCTCTGCAGTTACACTGGGGTAACGGGAGAGCTCACACTGCTCAGCCAGGGCGGTGGCAGTCAGGAGCTATCGGCAGCCTCTAGCCTTCTGCCCCACCGCACTAATGCTCTCCTGTAGCCTTCTCAGCCCTTGGCTGAGGACATTTTCCTGGAGGTATTAGGAAGGATGGAGCTTGCCTTGTTAGCTGCCCTGGGAGCAACAGGCTCTTTGTCAAATACCAGGGGAAGTACAGCTATCTTCTGCACCCCCTCCCTCCTCCTGCCTTCCTCCTTTCTTCTTTTCTCCCACTCATTGATGAGGTTATGGGGCTCCTTCAGGTAGCCTGAGGATCTGGTGCTGCAGGGTTAAGCACTGGGCTGCGGCAAGAAGCAAGATGGGGACAGACTTTTTAGTAGGGCCTGTAGCGATAGGACAAGGGGTAATGGTTTTAAACTAAAAGAGGGCAGATTTAGGCTAGATCTAAGGAAGAAATTTTTTCACAATGAGGGTGGGGAAACACTGGCCCAGGTTGCTCAGAGAGGTGGTAGATGCCCCATCCCTGGAAACATTCAAGGCCAGGTTGGATGGGGCTCTGAGCCACCTGATCTGGTTGAAGATGTCCTGCTTATTGCAGGGGGGTTGGGCTAGATGGCTTTTGAAGGTCCCTTCCAGCCTGAAGATTTTATGATTCTATGGCCACAGACATGAGCAGAGTGGGCAAATGCTATGAAAACTGTCTGTTGGGTGAGGGGAGGGAAAGGCAACATGGCTGCAGCCAGGTGTGTGCTTTGCTGCGCTGGAGCTGGGGATCACTGCTGGCTGCTGCAGCCATCTCCACGGGGAGTTTGGAGGCTTAAGACAGGTCCCGGCCCAGCAGTTGCCACCGTCTCAGCTGCAGCACTTCCCTCTGTCTCTTCCCTCTGCTGTTTCGCTCACCACCAGTTTCCTCAGCTTTGTGGCCATCTTTCCATCCTGTCTCTATCCCTTTTTTTCTTTCCAATAATAAAGGCAGCCCAGAGCAAATCTCAGCCCTTACTCTTGGGACAGCAACTTTCAATTTTCTCTACTGCTGAGACAGCTTTAACTAGTTCTCACAAGGTGACATATATTGTTTCATTTCTGTGGCTGTTTAACCTTGGCCGTTTGAACATCAGTCATGTACCATGGAGTACATCAGAGCTTTCTAAACAATTTCTAGCTCTCTTCTTCCCCCACCTCCACATAATTTGTAGTGACAAGCATCAGAAACTTTTGTGATATTTAGCTCCATAGATGTATGCACTCTGAGTTGACAGAACTTCTTCCTTACCTTTCCTATCACACAGCTGCAGACTGGCAGTCAGGATTATAGCGAGCTTGCAATATCTGGGGTGGTGGGTTTTTTTTTATTTCTCACTTTCAAGATGAATTGGAAAGGGACAAGAGATTTCCTTCAGGCTAGTGCTGAGAGAGACAGCTTGTACTGAGGGCGAGCGAGGCAGATGCCTTGGGTGTCAGAGAGGGAGCAAATAATGTATGCATGTCCATTAACGCAGGCAGAGGTGAGAACGGCAGGTAGCAGAGTGCTCTCTGCTTAGAGATATGGCTGTGGTGGAGCAGCTGATGGTAACCTACTGGTTTGATTCAGGCTCTTTAACATCCAGTTGCACCACTTTGTGACACCAGCACGAAGGGGGAGTGCATGTGTATAGATGTGTGTGTATGCAAGACAGGGTAACAAAATGGCATTTCATGAGTATCTAGCTGCTTTGCTGTCTGTCTTCAGCAGTTATGTCATTCATGCCTTTTATTGCTTCTGCGTATAATAATTTTGAGTTGTATTGCTGCTGTCTATCAACAAGGTTATCTCTCCCTCAGCCATTTTGCAAAATGAGGTCTTGATATCGCTGGAGATGATCACAGCTGTTTTAAGCACATTTCTCTCTTCTGCCTAGCTCTGCTACATGTTTTACAATGTCTGTTCATAGATTATAATCGTAATACATCCCTCCCACTGCCCATCCATGGAGAACAGGCTGGCAGTAGCAGCAGTGAGCACGGCTCGGTTTCGCCAGACTCTGATGTACAGCATGACATGTTTTTCGAAAGGCCAAAGAGATCCATTTCAGAGATTCAGACAAAGCATCCCATTTCCCATTTACTAAGGTAAAGCATTTGCTTGTCGTTTGACACCCATGAGGGATTATGTGGATTTAACTCACATTGTATTTATCTGAGGGCAGTTTTTTCACATAATGACTAGATAAGCAGGTGTGTTAAACAGCAAGTGAGTTGCACAGGCAAGTTACCAGTTAATTTAAATATTGTCTATATTTAATTAATGAGCACCTTAAGGTTTCCACATATTTGTATACTTTTCCTGCCTAGTGAATAAATGTCAGTCATCTTATTTGACTGAGTGGCTACGGATTCAGGAGTTAGCAGAAGACCCTTCCATGTACTCATGAAAAAATATGGGAAAGCAGAACTCTTTTTCTGCTGCTCAGGGAGCACAAAGCAATACTTTCAAATGAGTATGTTACAGTATGGGGTCAGAAAAAACAAATAGTTATCTCAGTCCAGGGTTTTCAGCTTTCCTCCCCAAAACTGAACCAGTGTTGGGTGACATTGATGACAGCTTCTTAGCTGGATGAAATCAGCCTTGTGCTTTTGGCTTCAGTGGGGTTTACGCCATCTGAGGATCTGAGTCACCTCCGGTTTTAGGATTAGTGTTTTAACAGTCTGATAATCCACTGCTATAGTTTATCTCGCTTTTTAACCTCCGGAGTATCCCTACTCGCTTCTGACAGTACTGCCGTGTTGCTAATGCTGAGGTCTCTCTTGCTTGCGTGGCCCGGTTGCTGACACAGCGTGCCTGATGAGGGCTCGGCCTTGGAGGACAGGAGTGCCTCTCCTTCTGTTGAGGATAAGGATTCGGGTCTGTTTCTGCTGCGGAAGGACAGTGAGCGCCGAGCGATCCTGTATAAAATCCTTAAGGAAGAACAGAATGAAGTTGCTTCCAATTTGCAGGACTGTATTGCACAGGTAATTTCACTTCAGCTCTGCTTTTCCTGTGTCAAAAGGAAAATGATAAGCCAGGTAGTATTATTCCTTTTCTGAAAACTATTAAACAAAGGTGCTTGGATTGATCCTTCTGAATATCTTTAATCTCCGAGACCTGTAACTGTGTGAGCTGTTTGCTCTTGTCTGAATGGAGAGCTTTTGCCTGCTGCTGAGCTCTCAGTTTTATCTGACGGGGGAGGTTTGGGGCATTTGATGGGGGGTTGGGTGGCTGAGGTTGGTGGGTTGGGTGGTTTTGATGTTGTGTTTTGTTTTGGCTTTTAAGGACCTGGAAATGGAACCCCGGGTAGTAACAGGTATGATTTGCTTTACAGATAGAGAACTGATTCACAATTTTTAATTCAAAGAAAATGTAAACTAGGTACCAAGAACACACTATGTGAATCTTGAAAAAGCTAAGGTAGATTTCTGTAGAGGGAAGGGTTGAGTGGGTAGGTTTAGTGACTGTAAGGAGGAGCAAGAAAAATCACGTTTTGTTAACTCGTAGCCAAGTGATGCCACACACCAGTAACAGGAGTCGATTGCTTAGCCTTTTCTTCCTAGGGTCTGCTTCTAATGTGCCACTGACATTATCTATTCTTACCAAAGCTATGTTTTTTCACCTGGACTGCATTTTCATGAAGGGGATCCTGCTGACTCTTGCCGTGGTGTCCCCAACCTGCTGTTGGTCTTGGCCCAAAGGCACTTGCAGCTCTGCCACCAGGGGTCCCCCAGCCGAGCCCAGCGTGAGCAGCCAGCTCCACGCAGCACAGGGGTTTGCTTCTCCCCCATGACTCGCGTCCCCTGCAAATGGCCCACCGGTGCAGATGGGCTCGCCCCAGAGCCTGCGGGCTCCTGTGGAGCTTTGCAGGCCCAAGAGAAAGGCCACAAACTCAAGGCTGGGGAAGCAATGGGGGTAAATTACTGCTCTGAGCTTAAACTGCAAAATAGTTTATAGCCTTATGGAGGACTAAAATTCTTATGTGAGATCTTAGTCAGAAATAGCCAGGGCTCTAAATGTTTTCCAGGATAAAGAAGGATTATTTAGTAACAGCAAGTCCTACCTCAGTCTCTAGCTGTTCTGCAGCGCTGCTGTAATCATCTCTTTTCCATAATTTCTGTAATACTTCTCGCTTTACATCACGTAGCTGGTTGTTCCTATAGGCACTTGGATGGCTTTAACTGTAGCAGGTATGGGTTGCAAATGATAGAAAGAACACTTGAGTCCTATCACTGTGTAATCTTAGACCTTTTTCTGACTTACGATAAATGCATATATAAACATATTTTTTTGCCAAAGGAAATCAAATGTCTGTATAATTAAATATAAGTCCAGATTCAGCTTATTGAAAAGATAGCATCTAAAAAATTTGGGTCTCTTATCGACTCACTCTGCTGTTTTTATGGAGGAGAGCTGCCCTCTGCAGTACATTGCAGAAATGTGTAGATATTATCTGGCCCTCTCCCTTTGTGACAGCCACAGTAGCATTAGACTTAATTTGTTTTTTGTAAAATAGGAATTACCATTAAGAAGATTTAGTTAGTAAAAGGTAGAAGATAAAGGCTTTGCAGAAACAAAACTTCTGTGATTTCCATGCATCGCTGTGAAATATACATGGTCAAAGCTATAAATTTTAACCCTAAAAATACTAACACTACTAATCAGATGTTCAGTGATTCTGGGATTTACTTGATGTATATTTGTTATCTTCTCTCCAGAGCTCTGAAGAACTGCAACTTTCAGTGGCCCACATCAAGCAAATTATTGGGATTTTAAGGGACTTCATACACTCTCCAGAGCAGAGGGTGATGGCTTCTACCATATCCAAGTTGAAAATGGATTTGGACTTTGACAGCACTTCCATCAATCAGATTCATCTGGTGCTGTTTGGATTTCAGGATGCGGTGAGTCCCTTGCCTAGCGCAGGGCGAGAGGAATTCTTC